GTATAAGAGCTCTTGCTAACACTTTTTACCCCACGGTTCTTATTTTTTAAATAAACATTTTTTTACATTTTTGTAGCCACTACAAATGCAAACATGCAATACTGTATGTCTTGCAAGAGACTGAAAAAGTAGAAAAACTGCACTATTAGTGTGCATTACAACCTAAATCATTATATCACAACGTGTCAAGGAAATTTACCAATGAACTAAAGAAACAACCTTGTTACATTTGTGTCAGCCAGTGCCACCCTTCCCACTGGATCTGAACAAAGTATCTGGTATGTGTGTTGCCAATAAGCTCTTTGAAAAGGTGCAAGCTCTGCCGAATACTTTCGCAGGACACTGTATATATATATATATATATATATATATATATATATATATATATAATTATTTGCTTGCTCTCGACCTGGACCTCTCTAAGTGGCTTTAAGAATCTGTTGGACTCCTTACAAGGACCAATGCAGACATGTTCCTGTTTTTAGTTTTCTACATTTGTTTCTACATTTGCCTTATAATCTAGCTGTTTTGCTATTTTTTGCCATCTTTTCTTAAATTTGTAAAAAAATAAAATATCTGTATGCCTCTTTTATGATTGTCTATTGTTGTCGCTGTTGTCCATTGTTGTCATCATTCTTTGTTGAAATCAGGTCTCTCTTGTAAATGAGTCCTCGAGGCTCAATGGGATTAACCTGTCTAAATAAAGGTTGAATGAAAGAATGACAAATGGCAAGTGGAGGGAGCAATATTATATGTAACCAGGCATAATCTTATCTGTTTAAATAAAGGTTGAATGAAAAGAATAATGGCAGAGCCGGGGTGACCTTGGCCACCATAGATCAACCTTTGGCCACCCCAACAGCCACCCCAGTCATTGGAGGAAACTATTCTTTTAAGCAATAAAAACTCGAAAGCATAGTTTCCTCAACTGATAGGGATGGCCAGTTTACATATATATGGTGGCAGCCATCTTGGATTTTGATATGGCAACCCAGATTCAATGGTGACCCTTTGACGCCTAAATGCAGCCACACATAAAAGTGAAAATTGGCATGTTGCCTATCAAGTTATACACTTCAAGATAAACCAGATGGATGGACAATATTTCCAAGTCCCCCTTCACTTCATGATGAGGAACAATTACACATTAAGCTTTACTGTCAAAACTTGGAGGGGCTTGCTTACAAGCAAGCAATTGTAGACAAGTTGTATCAGTTTTTTGGGTGCAAGCAAATTTTACCTGGATTTGTTTACTGCTAGTTATTATCAATCTTTGATCTTATCTAGAAATCAGATTAGTGCTTTTAAATATAAAGTGTGAGAACCCATGAGATAGTGTACTGTATATAAGTCATTCATTTGTGCTTAGTGTACATTTACTGTATACCCTTGTTACTGTGGGCAGAGAGATTTAACATGTGCTGGTTTTACAATGCAGTCTATTAAAAAAACTGCATCCTGACTGTACCGTCTGGTCATCTGCTCACATCAGTTATCACCGATCTGTCGAGAATCAAACCAACATCTGCTTGCACAGCAAAAAGCTGCCATCTGTAACCTGTTTATATGAACATGCTGTGCTGCTCTCACTTAACAATGACATTACTGGGAGATGTCTGACTGGTTGGAAGGGAGGACTGTCAATCTGAAACTCTGATGAGTTCATCTGCATTTAATGGCCTTTTTAGGTTTCAAACAGCTTGTTTTAAATGCCATTATGTTCAAATACAACAGGACATCTAGAGATAATGATCCTTATGTCCACAAACGTTTTGACAAGCAAGTCTGAAATTAAGGCATTATGTAGCCAGCAAAGATTTAAATTACAATAATACTGACTATTTCTTTTGATGGTGTAGGGAAAATAAGACTGAAAATCTTGAGCCCTTTTTGGGAGGAGGGAAATTTACAAAATGCATTTGCAAAAAGTGTTTTTTTTTTTTTTTTTGCCAGAACATAGTATTGCAATACCTACAAATGATACATCCTAATGTCCACAAGTGTTAAATATTAAATTAGACAGTCAAACACAACTGGTTACATGTCCATTAAAGGAGCCTGAAATGCAAAATGCCTTAAATTTAATAATAGATTAAGAGAGACAGATTATGCTGGTCGAGAAGACCAAATAGGAAAAAAAAAAGTCCCATCTATAGCTTTCAGGTACGGAAAAAGACATGCTTGAATTCAGAAGTTATCTATTGTTGACAGAGACCAGTCATGGCAGATAAGCTGAAGAGTTTAATTGGTCTATCTGATTCAGCATCCATGAGTGTATGGAGTGTTTGCTTATGGTAAATCAGCAGGCAAAGGGGGAATTATATTTTTGTTGGAGCCTCAGAAGCACGGCAGAGTCACGAAGCTGGTATTATACCTGGGAAATGATCATTCATTATCCTGGCTTGCTTTTCCACAGGGAGTTGTACAATTTTCCGACAAACGTTTTGAGTTTACAGGTTGTTCACATGATTTTATACAAATTTATGTTAATTAACGAAGACAAGCCACCAGTTTCGCAGATGTGGAAGGTTTAAACGTTGCCTCAAGAGAATCCGCAACTTCTATTTATAAGTTTCTGTTGTGAGAAGCAGAGTCTGGTCAGTGAAAAATTTATGCTGGATTTAATGAAGCACAAAGAAAAGCTGCAAATGTCCCTACTGTCATCAAGCCTATAACAATTTCTTAAAGGAATGCAAATCATCCGCCTCTTTGTATCCAGGAGTTTTAAACTAACAATCTTATTACAAAAATAGACAGACCTACAGCTGTTTTAGTCAAATCTTATGAATGGTGTCATATGCAACCTCGTGTGATACTGTGAGATGTCAATACACTGGTGAAGATTCTCAGTCATCCAGTACATGGTAAATTCAAAAAAGTTCTAGACAAAAACAAAGTATAAAGTATAATAAATAAAGTCCAGTTGTTTCTGTCTTGAACTTTTTTGAATTTGTCATTATAGCCATGTTTACCTATTACGTGATACAACGGCATGCCTTACTGCTACTACTACTTTGTTGCCATCAAGTGGCTGAAAGTGGTACTGTAATATCTGTAAAACTGAATGTGCCATAGCCATTTTTGTGTTGGCTAATGCCGATGAGCTGTGGTGGCCATCCCGAAAGTTTCATTAAAATCCATCCAGTGGTTCTCAAGATATTTTGCTAACAGTCAAAGTTGACTAAATTGGTTATTAGAAAATGTTTATTTTACTTATATCTTAAAATATGTTATTAGGAAGACTCTCATCAACTACCACACCAGATTTGAGTTCAGCATTTGTAAAACTGACATAGTTGTAGCCATTTTGGTGATTTTAGGATCAGTCGGCTGTGGCAGCCATGTTGAGCTGGGGTAACTCCAAAAGTTAGTTAGTTGTAAGCACACATTCAATGATTACTTAAGGAACACTTCATTACAATTCGTCCAGTTCATGAAAAATTTTGGTAACCGACCGACAGGCAGACAAAAACACTTTTCCTTGTCACTTGTCTTTGCCTTTTGGCAGTGGACAACAATAAAGTATTTTTAAATTCGAGAAAATAAAACACTACTCACTAAAATCTGTCTTTAGTCCTTAGTTAAAAAAAACAAACATATTTGTCAACAAGCCACACATCAAATTACTTAGTCATGGGTGTTTTTGTGGCCCCTGGTGATATTAAAAGTTATGTAAACCAACACCTTTTAAGACACGCTACTTTCCAGGGATTGCAAAAGTGAGTAAATACCAAGAAAACTTTCAATAGACGCATTACACCATTCAGACAATTGTAATATTGCTGCTTTAAAACTAACAAAATAAACAGACTGCTTTTAAAAAGAACAAGATTGCAGATAATTCGGCACTGTCTGATTGGCAGCTAGTTCCTTATTCTAGTTCTTACTGTGTAGGTCTGGCTCCCATGGTTCAATCAAAACAAAGAAATCATAGTATGGTACCAGCACACAGTAATTACATTGGACTACAGTCAAGTGCCTTGTTTAAAAGGATGTCCCGCTGTTTATAAACCTGCACAATAGCCATATTTTTGGGATAAAATGTGTGTTTGAGCAAGTAAGAGCATGATTGTATTGTATAATTGTGAACACAGACACATAACTACTGCACAAGCTTCCATTAAAAAGAGAGACACTAATCATCTCGGAAAACGGGTAATGAAAGAGACTATAACTGGCAATAAGAGTGAAAATGAAGCGGAAACTAGAAATATAGGTGTACAGAGAAAATTAAACACACTAAGGAAATCTGATCGCAGTTTTCTTAGGTTATGTTGATGCTATAAACCTCTAGGATGTTAGTATTTAAACACCAAAAAAAAAAAACTGGCCAACAAGTGCAACTAATAAAGAAATCCAGCAACAATGAAAGAGCAAAAAGCTTAAATTGATTAAGTTAACAATCTGTATGTAGACATGGGAAATTACTTGTATGACAAAATACACAACAAATTGCAAATATGGTAAATGAATTGAACTTATATAGCACCTTTCTATCTTATCAAGATACTCAAAACGCTTTACTCTACAATCTGTGCCTCATTTCCCATTCATACAGCACTCTACTAGATCTCTACAAAGCTAATTGAACAAATCATTCTAAAGAGACTAATCAGAGCTTTATCACATTCATACACACATTGGACGCAGTGAGGGGTTCAGTGACTTGCCCAGAGAAACTTCGGCATGTGACTGCTAGTGGATTTGAACCCCCAACTCTTGCATTGGAGGACGACTGCTCTAACCATTCAGCCACAGCCGCCCCTGTACAATTATATACTATTAAATTATAATTAAATATAAACAAATCATATAAAAATTAATGTAATAGTTATCAATTAGTTACTCTACAATATAATTTTTGCTTTATTATCATTAAAAATGAATGTTTATATCAAGTTTCTTGTAAAAATTTAATGTTTTAGAACTGCTGTGAGATGTAACATTGAGAAGTGTCTTTGACAGACTCTTAACCCAGCTTTTTTCTTCATGTGTTTCAGGAAACATGGTGAGCAAGGAGGGTGGCAAATGCCTGCTCACCAACTCAGAGTCTGACTCAGAGGCAGCGCCCCTGCCCTCCACCTCACTGGCGCTGGAGGTGAAGTATTCCCTCAAAGCGAGTCGACAGGTGAGGAAAAGAAACAAGGCCTTGCAAGTGCGCTTCAAGGACATCTGCGAGGCGCAGAACGAGCAAAGGGAGGCAGAACTGCAAGCAGCAGGGAAAGGCGGGAAGCCGTTGTCATATAAGGTGGCGTACCGCAAGTACATGACCGTCCCTGCACGCAGATCCATTCCGAATGTCACGAGGAGCACAGGCGTCCAGACATCCCCTGACCTAAAGAAACGGTACCAGACCTTTCCCTTTGAGCGTAAGAAAGGACACACGTTTAAACACGTGGCAGCAGTGGAAACGTATAAAGGCCAGAACAACGGTTTTGTCATGGAGGTAAAGCAATCTAAAGCGGCTGAGCAGGGTTTAGATGACGACGAAGAGAGAGCCAGTAGGGGGAGTGGAGTCTTGAGGACCAGGGCTCTGCTCCATACTAATGAGTGCATTGCCACAGTGGAGCAGCACAGTGCACCTGATGGCCTGTGCTCTGATGCACTGCTGCTCAGTTGCACTGCTGACACAGACCGCCTTGCAGATGCACCAAGAGGAAGCGGAGCCAGCGCACAACCCAAGTACCAGCTTTGCAGCGTCCCTTCAAAGTCCGTAACTGGATTACAGCACAGGGAGGCCGATGTAGACGGTTTGGCCAAGAGGCAACTGCTCAGTCTGGAGGAAGGCTCGTCTCAAACCCTCCCGAACAGGCCCTCCAAGGTGACGGGCCCCATCGCATGGAACTCTCTTACACAGGTGGAGTGCCTGGACAGTCCTTCTGTGCAAAGCAAACGAAAAAAAGGCCTTCAGCTTAACGGGCTAATGGCTGAGACTTTACCACGGTCCAGTGGAGGCTGTATAACAAAGGCACAATGTCATACAGGACAGATGTCTGCCCGGCCTATACGGGGCATGGAGGAACCTCGCTCGCCCTCTACAAGTGTTGTGGCTGATGGAGCACCCTCCAACCAAACACAGGAAGCCTGTAGGCAAATAGTGCCTGTGAATCAGGACAGGGATGTAAAAGCACAGCTTCAAGCCATGGAAAATCTCATCAGCTCGAGCCAAGAGACCATCAAGGTGCTGCTTGGGGTCATTCAGGAACTGGAAAAGGGAGAGGCCCAACGAGAAGGGTAGGACATCCCATTTCAAATGTACACTTTAAAGTGGAAAAACTCCCATTAGATTTGATCTGCTTTGTCAACATTCAAACACAGAAGTGCTAATTCAAAGTAACAATCCTATATTGCTGCTTTCTTATTTACAAATTTACTATTCATAAAGCTAATTGTACGGAACGCAATAAAATCATTTTTATGTTAATTGCCACCAGGCTAAAGATTAATGTAGCTCTGAAAATGAAGCAGCCGCCAGCCATGACTGAAGTCATTCTGGAAACAACACGAACTAAAAATAAATAAAACACAACTACTGTTTTTAATCGGTTACAGCAGGCATGTAGCCTGAACCACTAACACAATAGGGTCAGTTTGTGCCTCAGTACTTTAAAAATATGTTAATTTAATGTTTACAAATGAAAATGCAAATGTAAAATCTAATTAATCAACTAAGTGAGACCAAATATGGCAAAGAAAGACCAAAGCGCACTACATCACTCTATAAGCATTTCACCTGGTTGCACTCTGCAGTATATTCTTAGTATAATACCATGATGTGATGACTCCCTCTGGATATTCTTCAATTTCCTTGCAGACATTTCACAATCCTTACTGGCCAATGCTCTTGGATAATTAGCAACATTATATTACCAGTATCTATTGCTTGTGGCTTTTAATCATAAAGTCAAACTAGAAAAGGCAGAATATTCCGAATATATTCTGCAGAGAACACAACAGTCAGATCAGTATCAGTGTTACTGCTACAAGAATACTGTCAAATGAATACATATTAAGATATTTAAAATATAGGAATCGTTCTGGGAAGTATATTAAAAGTTTAGAATGGCTCAAGAATAATTAAAAGTTGCCTTATCCAGCCACAAACTCACAAACGTACAGAAATGCTATTCTGCATGTTTGAGGAATGTGAAAAACCCATGGCCTCTGAAAAATGAAAATAAAAATTCTTGTCAAATAAACATTGAGAATACATAAAAAGATTGTAGATAGTTAAACCCTAACTAAATAGAGGCTATCTAAATGGTAGTAGCAAAAAAAAGGCAGATTTGTTAAATAAATTTGCAGAACGTTGTATTAAAATGTGGCCCTGATTTGACCAGTGGTTGTTCAAAAATGAACAAATGAAATAATCTCACAATTGACAACGTCCAAATTTCAAACCTCTACCATGCTAGTAACTCACCTTTATGTATAAATGTCTAAAAGCTATTCTTATTATCAACTAGGGTTAAACTCCTGTTTTCAGCTGGGCTTGAGGGAGGAATAAGATACCACAGCAGTCGGAGCACAGTGAGAAGTAAGCAGACATGCCGTGCAGCAAAGGGATCTATCTAGAATGGTTTTCAAAGCACATCTGGTTAGTCAGATGTGGCTAGACTAGCAGCGATACAAAAAGAGAAGTGTATTAAATTAAAATTAAAGCAATAGCTGTGAATATATATGAAGAAAAAAAACATGTTTTTGTTCATTAATTATAAATACTTGTGTTTAGTTAGAGTCAGTGAGCTGCATAATCCCTCTGTAATCCATTCAAACCTCACTACATCTGTCTTCTTTAAGTGCATTTACAGTTTCATGTAGAAATGCTAATAGGGTGCAGGTGAATGGCTGTAATGACATCACATGCACAGCTGCTTTTATTGTTCAACACAAAGATTTCAAGGTTGGACCTTTTTAATGTGTTCATCAGATGCAACCGAGACATCATAAGAACAAAGATTTTTTATTTTACCTTGTGTATGCGTTACTTGAAAGCTTTACACTCTATATTTCACAGTTTTTTTATTTTATTTTTTTAACAAAGGCTTAAAAGTCGCCCTGCCATTCTACCCAGGCAGCTCAAAAGGCGCGTTGTGCAGCAGGTGAAACCGTCAATCATGGCTGTCCATCAACAGCTACGTGGCAGACGCTAAGATGTTTCTATAAACCTTCAAATCTAGTGATGGCAGTAACAAGAGAAGTAATATAGTAGTACTAATAATAGTAATATAGTAGTATAATAAGTATTATAATAGTAATACGTAATAGTAGTACAAGCAAAGTTATTAGAATTACCCAATCTTACAGCGAAATTAAATAATGATAGAAATAACTTTATTGGAGCCAGAATCTTCTGGCCTTGAGTGGTGGTGGCTCTCTCTCATCTTTATTTCAGGTTCTAGTATGAATTATTTTAAAACGTTAATACAGCAGCAAACACATACTTAATAGTATTGTATAAATGTTCCAATCACAGTACAGTGTTTCCTCCTTTCACTGTTTTTCAGCTAGTTGTGTAATGAAACAACATAATGGTGTTTATTTTTATTTTTTTTGCCCACTAATAAAACACCTACTTTGTTTTTAAAAAGACTTTCACAAGGAGAAGCATGTGGCCACGGATAAAAGCTTTGTATTTTGTCCAAAATATAAAAAGATTTACGTACTGTCTAAAATGCTGGACTTTTCATTTCCATTTTGGTTTTAACTGAACATCTTTTGGTCGGAGCTAAATTTTTAGTTCTTGAGATTAAAACCACCCCCTTTGTATCATATTTATTAGAAAATTCAACTTAATAAAGACCGTTTACTAATTCCACATATTTTTTGTAAGTATTAGGCAATTTATGCTCAACTTTAAGTGATCTAACATTGACAATGTGGAAAATTATTGGTGTTTGAAAACCCTACGTATCCAAACAACTCCTGAGCAACTAGTCCAACGTTACAAAGAACAAAATCCTCATAGAGCATACCTAATTACACTACATAAATACAAACGCTTAAAAATAATACTTAATTCTGGAGTGAAGCCGTGTGCTAGTGCCCCCCGTTGCTCATTGATCTGAATAGTGAATGTTTGTCGTTTTTGAAACAAGTGTGTTAAGCTTAATGTTTTTGGTACAAGGTATTCAAATGGGTAGGTGTTAAACTGTGTATAACTGAAGTTGTTTGCTTTGGTTTGTTGTCCGAGGTTGCGCAGAGTGACAGATCCTGGCGACCACCAGGTGCAATAACAGAGCCAGGGGGTGGCTAATGGTGGCCTTGACCAGCATAGATTAATCTTTGGTCACCCCATCAGACCAAAAATCATTTGAGGAAACTATACTTTGGAGAAATATAAAAACTAGAAAGCATAGTGCCTCAAATGATAGTGGTGGCCGATTTACATATATATAGGATGGTGGCCATCTTGGATTTTGATGCGACAACCTAATTTTCAAAAGGAACCTTTCAATTTAGTGCAATTCAATTCAAAAATACTTTATTACTCCCAAAGGGAAATTAATTGTTGTTGTAGCTCATCATCCTGGTTTGATTAAAGTTGTTGTGCTGATGGCTTTGGGCAGGAAGGATCTCTTGTAGCAGTCCGTCCCACAGTGGATCTGAAGAAACTGGCTGCAGATGCTGATCTGTCCACCCAGACCCAATAGACCTCTCCGTCCTCTCTTGGGCAGCAGGACTGCCTGAATGCTAGGCAGAACTCTTCCCCGAGCACCATTTCTCCCAGTAACCTGCCAAGCCCATCGTTGCCGCGGACTTAACTGCAGGTGCCAGGGGACGATCTCGGTCCTCCTGCTGTCACGAGTTGCGTTTCCCCCTACCTCCAAGATCTCTGCAGTTAGGCACTCAAACACTGCCTCTAGGTAGACAGTAATGCATTCACGGCACCTCCTTCTCAACTCATGTGGGAGTTGGGGCTGTAGGTGAGGTATTATTTGAGCTTTTGAGATGTTAATCACCAGCTTCCAGTTGTAGAAAACCACCTTGTTCTTATGGTTACGCATCATAACAAACGTCCAAAAGTAAAAATGGTTCCAGTAAAAATCCTTCCTGCAGCACAGCATCTGATACCAGAGGAAGTAATAATCTGAAAAAAGCTATTTACATCCAGAAAAAAAACAGAGTAATAAAAGTTTTCAAAAGCAAAATCTCAGAATGAATGTAAAAGAGCTACTCCAACATGCAGCCACATCGAGAGGCGCAATTCTGGAACGTTTCTTATGCCTAGATGCAGCCACACACCAAAATAAAGACATAACCTCACTTGTTTTTCAAGTAATCATGCTCACAACGTTTATTGATAGATAGATCAAGGGTATTTCCAATTCACACTTTTTGCTCAGCGACGGAGGGAGGGCGGGGAGACAACAAATGTGTGCACAGATGTAAAACAGCATATGTTGCATCCAACGGGACAAAGTTTGGATACTGGTGTGTCAGAGTGTTGGCAGAGCAGAGCCAATTAATCTCACTCTTGGGAACTCGTTGCTCACCTGCATATTAGCACTGTGTACGTGCACTTGTTTTTGTGCTTCTCTACTGCCACCCACAAAGTGACCTTTGGGAAAGCTCTCCTGTTAGAACAATGGGTGAAGGGTGTATAAATATACCGTTAATGGCACTTTTGGCTCCCCTATCCCCAGGGAGGCTCGCCAAAATGAGCCCCGCTCTCTTATTTTCTCTTATCAACTCAGTATGAAAGAGCAGTGGGGAGGCATGAGAGATTGAGAGACAAAGAGACTGAGGTGGAAAAAAGTGAGAAAAAGAGAAAATAGAGAGAAGTAGTTCAGAGGATCTGATCCAATTGGCTGTGCAACCAGTTGGCTTTTCATTGATTGGCTCACCTGGAGGAAAGTTATGTGGCCTTTTGCATTGTATTGAATTATGAACCTGTCTCCCACAGAAAGCCAATTAATGACATGTTGTGCATAAATAATCCAAGGTGCAAACTTCAAGCGCACTTGCTGTGTCACTGCACTTCTCCTCTGGACGCCATTACCCGAGTCTGCGGCAGCTCCAGATAACAACATCGATATGAGCTCCTCTAATACCTGTCAGAGCATGCAGATCAAGACGCAGCGTAGTAGATAAAAAGGAGGATTTTACGATAGGTGTTTAATTTTTATTGGTGCCGCATACGATGGGCAGCGTGACAAGCACAGTGGTGACGGAGATGAAAAATGTCTGCGGTTCTGCAAAGATGAAAGACGGAATATATTAGTGAAAACACATTACCCTCAATGATAAGAATGATCTGATGGTTTTTATTATGTTCATTTGAGTTTTAAAAGACTTGAATCAGGAAAAAGGATCAGTTCATATAAAAGAAAGAAAAATAATTTTGACAACTTCAACACTATCCCATGCGACACCATTGGTTCTTAAAAGAAACTGTTGATTGCCGTTATAACGTGCATATGAGGGCCGCAAAGTGGACCAGTGGTTAGCAGGAAGGCTACCGTATTTTTCGCCGTATAAGTCGCACCTTGCGACTTATACATCGAAGCGACTAATTATGTTCTTTTCCCCCATATTTATAACCATATTTTTGGCTGAGCTCTGACGATTTCTTTCATTCTGACATGGAAAATATTAAACACTACCCAACAATTTTCAGTCAGGTGATCTGGACAGTTTTTTTGTTTTGTGCTGAAACGTTTCGCCTTCGATCTGGAAGGCTTCATCATTAAACACTACCATTTTCAGCCGCTAGAGGGCCCTTGAGCAATATGCAAGCCAAGTGTCTCATTAATAGGTAAAAGTGACTATTAATGAGACACTTGGCTTGCCATACCAAGCCACCTTCATCTCACTCCAGAATTCCTGGCGCAAACGTCAAATCAACTGCATTTCGCTGCACCGCCCAGGCGAAATGCAGCTGATTTGACCATTAAAGTGCATTTATTAAGGAAAAGTTCACCTGAGACACACATTTACTATAATGTCGAGCAAACAAATATCTGTTTTTAGGTGATTATCTTGTTAAATTCTTGTTCAAGTCCTTCCGTGCACACTCCCGCAGCCACCATTTGGCAGCCAATCAATTTTTGGCACAACACCGGGCCACGTTTCCAGGTGGTCAGCGGTGACGCATAATAGATGCGACTTATACGGAGAAGCGACGTATTTATGTTTTTTTCCCACTTTATTAGACACTTTTGGACTGATGAGACTTATAGGGCAGTGTGATGTGTACGGCGGCAAGTACAGTACTAATATCAGTGATTTATTCACACTTACTTGATAGGAGCAGATAAAATGCATAAGTAGAATAAAACAGCTCATAAATGCAAGTATCCAAAGTGCCGATTTGCAACACTTAATTATTGACTAACAAGATAGCTAATGACTGAACAATATATGATAAGTAGGATGTATATTAGGTTACAGAAGGGGATAAATGGATATTTACTGATCATTTTTTTACAATGATACTAAGACTGTATAAATCCAAGGAGCTGCTGCCTAAAAAAATATTAAATAAACTAGGAGGACTTAAACGATTTTCATCTTACAGGTAATAACTCATACATATCCTTTCCAACACTGTTCTGCACAGAAATGAATAATCAATGAAGAGATTATTCTGAAATGAGTAAAATAAAAAAGTCAATAACTGAGGGAAGCAGAGGGAGCTGCACATACAAAGAAGGTACAAATAAAAGCTTAACAGAAGCTTAACAAAGATACTGCATATACCATATATATTTATATATATTCAAGTGGTTTTAAAGTTAGCTGGTTTAATTAATGACAGTTTAGGCTAAACGCGTTACAAGGATGAGATCAAATGAAAGTTTGCTGATTGCAGGAGGCTTCTGTTCCATTTTATTTTTGTCATTAAAAAATGCTAATGGAAATTTACAATTCTGATGGAGGGTTTTGATCGACTCGTCCTTTAAATGCAGACCAGAACTCACGGCGCGTCCCCTTTTACCCGATCTGACCTCCAAACAGCCAGCCTCAGCTAATGGCTGACACGGTGCTCCCTCTGTCCGAGCTGCAGGGCACAGGGCACTGAGAAGGGCAGCGTGACTCCTCATCACCCTCATTTACGTTTGTCTCGCTAACGAGAGATGACATATAAGATGAGAAAGGAAGGTGTGAGGCAGCAGCTTAACAAGTCTTGTAATTACTCATTCACAACTCTCTTCTTTCTTGCAGACTCTCCTATCGAACTGGACAGGACATGGCCAACTGTGACACATGCCGGAACAGTGCATGCATTATTTACAGGTAAGTGCTCATGCCTCTTCAAAGACACAATGATCAAAATGTGTCCTGTCTGTTCTCCTTGAGGGAAAGAGAACAAGTGAATTAAGGTTGAAGCAGAAGAAGAGGCAAAAAATGCTAGATTTCATGTAAAATGTGAATATTAGCACACTAAGGTATGGGACATTATTTCAAACTCTTGCTCTAAAAATATACGCATTTGTCTGATTCTCCAATTATCCCATCACATAATTTCAATCACTGACTGGAGGCTCTAGTCTACTAGAACATCCAAGGTGATGACGTACCAAATTACTTTAGCTTGTTTTTTTTTAATATTGTTTATAATTTTATCAGATTTAGTAACCACTTCAGAACACAATCAAAAGTTTAATGGTGGTGGATTTTGCATAATGCAAAACAGGCAGGGAAAACCCCAACAAAGTTAAGTCAGGTCCTATGGAGGGTTTCTTTTTTTGTTGAGGTGTTTCGTCCTTCATACAAAGGACTTTATCAGTCTGAGGAGCCACAACAAACTCAGTCCCTTAGAATTATTGAGCATGAACTTTGATGTTTTGAACTATTTTGGCAATGGCTGTCTCAGGAGTCGACGGGGGAGAGGGCAGACCCCATAAACCACCTTATCACCATCAAACTGGTTGACCCACTATGTGAGTGTGCGGCTTGTGGGACTGAATTTGTCGTGGCTCCTCGGACTGATGAAGTCCTTTGGATGAAGGATGAAACGTCTCAACAACAACAAAAAAACATCCAGATGACCTGACTGAACATTATTGGATTTTTTACCTGGATTATTGAGGATGAACTTTCAGACTGGGAAAATATGTTTTTGTTTTTCTTTTTAGAGCAAAAAGTGATGGTGGGCATGAACAAAATGTTATAAAAGTTCTGCATCTTCAGTCCAGAGAGAACCACTAAAACCCAAGTTCTTAAACGTCCTTTTCTCTCTTTTGAACATTCTGTACATTCTGTAAACACAGCAGAAAAGCTCAATTTTTAGAAAACTATGATAAATGATCATGTGTTTTCTACACAAAGACAAACACTATAGAGTAAATCTATCTGGATATATAACAAAGTCCATGCTCAATAATCCAGGTATGGACTTCTAGGTATGGAATCCAGCATGGACTTTGTTGTTTTCAACCAGTTTGACAAGACTGTCAACAAGGAAGAGGGTCAGCAATGGAGAAGGGGGTGTACCAAAGAGACCATCTTATCACAAGCAGAACTGGTTTGTTCCACTTTGGAGTAAGCTGTTGGAGGAAGAATCAGTTTTGTTGTGTGTTTCCTTGATTGATGAAGCCTTCTGGATTGAAGGCGAAACGTTTCAGCACAAAAAGAAACTGTCCAGATGACCTGTCTGAAAAATGTTGGGTATCTGGATATACATTAAAGTTTTGATATTGCTTTTTAAATGAACACCCTACAAGGCCTTCAATATTTTATTTGGTGCTGATAAATTATGTGCTGTAGCTCATTCCAACAGGCACTCTGGATGTTTTTTTTAATTTATGTTGAAACATGTCGTCTTTCATCCAAAATACTTGAACAGTATGAGGAGTGATGAAGTCCTTAGAACGAAGGATGAAACGTCTCAACAACAAAAAAAATGAAACTGTCCAGAGGACCTGACTTAACTTTGCTGGATTTTTTTACCTGGATTATTGAGCATGAACTTCGATTATGTACAGTAGCGCAATGCTGTGTTGAAAATGCATTTGTATTTGTTGTATGGGTAATCTATTTTAAATAAGTGTAAAACTTACTGCCATCACATAGACCATATTGTCATCACCCCAAATGTGCAAGATCAGCTCAAAGTTTCCACTTCAGCCTCCCTTAGTTCACAAAAACACTATTGAAGGGTTTACTTTATGTGAGAGTAGTAGGAAACTGCCTTTATGAGCATACGTGCACACACACCATGCTCCGGTCAATAATCTAAAGGAACAGGAGAGAAAGAAAATGAGAAAGAAAGGAGACTTTAAAAATATGAGGCTAAGAGGCTATCAATAAAACTGTTTTAGTGGTCACTGCCATAGAATGAATTCTGAATATCTCCTCTCGAGAGCCACTTAAATTATATTTTATCTACCGCTCTCAATAACTGATAAGCCTCTGGCTAAACTTCAATTGGCTCCTGAAAATCAATAAGTACAGCATCGCCCTGCCTTCTCTGATATGGTTCTTCAGCTGAGGGAGGCTTGTCATGTCTAAGTGTTTTTAAAAAAATACAAAAAAAATAAATCATTGCAGCTTTCCGACACAGCCGCAGGAAGGACAACACTAAAGGCTCTTTAACAGCAGTTCAGTGCCAGCGAGATTGAGCTTAGCCGACCTGAATGATTGCTCATAATGTGAGCCACGTAGACAGAGCATTAATTAAAGGGACATGGTTGGAGCGTAGGATTAACGTGTGAATGAGTGAAAATGGACTTACTGATGAGATGGCTATTTAAATCATTTTTAATCTACTACACTCAATAACTGATAAGCTGCTAAACCTCAGTTCTGCACCTGAAAATCCCAGTTGATAGTGTTTTAGTCACCATAGTTAACTTGCTTGATATGCACAAACCCGTGCATCTGCAATGTTAACTGGTGTGCTGAGATAAAGTTTTCAGTGATATACCAAAAATCAACGAGGATTTAAAATGTGCAAACTAAGACATGACTGCTTTCATTTGACCATGCAAGAATACAACTCCAAAAAATTAGAATATCATGGAAACGTTGTTTAACTTCCATAATTCCATTCAAAAAGTTAATATTTAATAGATGATAGATTCAGGGCCAACAATTTAAACAATTTATTTGTTTATTTTTACATAATTTGGGCTTCCAGCTTGAAACCCACGAAAACAGTATTTCAAAAAAATTAGAATACTGTGGAGAAATCAGCCAAAATTTTGCAGGGCATGGATGTTTTAAACTGAATGTGACACACTAATCATCTACTAAACTCAGAGCACCTGCACAGGTTTCCCCAGCTGTCATTAAATTGCTTCAGTTTGGTTCAATTGTCAGTTCGGTTCAATATGGGGAAGACTGCACACATAACAACTGGCCAGAAGACCATCATTGATACCCTCCATAGGATGGGTAAGCCACAAAAGTTCATAGCTAAGGAGGCTGGCTGCTCAGAGTGCTGTGTCCAAGCATATCAATGGAAAGTCTAGTGGAAGGGCAAAATGTGGCAGGAGAAGAAGCACCAGCAAAAGAGAATGGGCTTCAGCAGATTATCAAACAGAGAAGATTCCAGAATCTGGCAGAGATCCAGAAAGAGTGGAATGAGGCGGGAGTCACAACTTCAAAAATCACCGCATCCAGGAGATGGGCTACAACTGTCGGGTTTCTCAGTCCTCTTTTCCCATGAAAGTAAAGTGTGCCTTTCATTCAAAAATCAAGGTCCAAGGGTTTGGAGGAAGAAGGGTGAGGAACAGAACCCATACTGCTTGAGGTCCAGTGTGAAATATCCACAGTCAGTCATGATTTGGGGTGCAATGTCCGGTGCAGGTGTTGGTAAACTCTGCTTTCTTAAATACAAGGTCACTGCAACCATCTACCAGAATGTTTTAGAGGACTTCATGATTCCTTCTGCTGAGGATCTGTATGGAGATGCAGATTTCATCTTCCAGCAGGACCTGGCCCCTGCCCATGCCGCCAGAAGCACCAAAACCTGGTTTGATGCCCATGCCACAATGCTTGACTGGCCAACCAACTTGCCGGACCTAAACCCCATTGAGAATCTATGGGGTGTTCTCAAGAGGAAAATGAGGTGCACCAGACCCAACAACAAAGAAGAGCTGACAGCAAGTATCAAGGAATTATGGGCTTCCATAACTCCCAGTCAATGCCACAGGCTGATAGCCTCAATGCCACGTTGCATCGAGGCAGTGATTAAGGCAAAGGGATTCCCATTGAAGATTGACATATCGTTTTGAAAGTACTATATTTTGATTGATTTGTTGTTATTCCAATTTCTTCCTTTTTTTCCTGCAACAACTTAGAAGTAGTGTGGGATGTCTTCACAGTATTCTAATTTTTTGAAATCCTGTTTTCATCGGTTTCATGAGCTGGAAGCCCAAATTATGTACAAATAAACAAATTAACACTTGAAATTGCTTAAATTGTGGGCCCTGAATCTATCATCTATTAAAGATGAACTTTTTGAATGGAATTATGGAAGCTAAACTACTTTTCCATGATATTCTAATTTTTTGGAAAGGGTCTGTATGTTAGTGAGGTGCCCATCACAACAATTTTATCACCAGTTTCTCTACAAGTTATATAAATGTACCACATCAGATCTTTCCTTGTTTTTATAGACACATAGCGTGCTCAAAATGAAAAATGTTCTTAAGCAGGCACAATAACAACACTGAGAATCTGCACACTGCCTTCCCAAGCCTGCCACAATCAATTGAAATGCTGCACTGTTGGAGGAAGAACAGAAAAGCAGCAAGTCTTTACAAAAAGAGTCTCATTTCTTGACAAACCATGTCAGCTTCTGGCAAGGTTTCCTCTTGATAAAGGGCAGAAATATCCCACTGAGATGTTTGAAATTTGTCAAATTGACCCGAGATCATCTTTAAGAGACTCGCTTGACATGGTTAATGGTGTTGATTGGACACAGAATCAAATATAGCAGTTGTATTCATAGATGCAGGGGGGATTAAATGGCAATCTAATTACTTAGATCTCCATGAAAACAACCTCTCTGGAGGAGGAAAACAGGCTAGGAAATAAGAGTGTTGAAGAAAGATGCAGTGTAAGAATAGCTGTCTGTGAGGGTTGGGATTTCCTTGTATCTTTCATCCCTTACCATCTATGTAATGGAGTTAAACTGTGTGGCTAAAACTATTAAAGTTAAACACAGACTACTGTATGCAATCCTTGGCATTCAGTCAATGGCTAAAACTTTTAAGGAGATTTAGTTACACAGCGATGAAACTGAGAAGTCAGACGTGGCGTTAAATGAGATTAAAAAGATCAGAAAA